TCCGTCCGTCCGTCCGTCCGTCCGTCCGTCCGTCCGTCCGTCCGTCCGTCCATCCATCCTTAGTGAAAGTTGAGTTTGGTTAGTGATGACTTTATTATGTCTCGTAGGCCTTGTCATTTGATAACACCATAGAAACAGTTAAACAAATCGTCCGCCAAGTCGTAACCAGTAAAGACAAGAGCACAGCAACCCAAAGCGGACTTGAGGTGCACATTCTTCAGTTCTTCTACCACTACATGCAAAAATCATCCCACAACCAGCTCGTCAATGCACGACCTGCTTTGATTTCGTTGATGAAGGAAGGTTTACAACTTAATCAGCCTCAGGCTTTGTTTCTTTTGTTGGTCATACTCCAGTCTTATGTACAGCGGTTATCGCTACAGGAAGACAAGAAGGCGAAGAAAGAGTTACAAGTAAGTAAGGAGAGTGTAGAATAAAGCCTTAAACAGTATTTAAAAAAAGAGCACACGCGTTTTGGCGCGAAAATTCCCGCCAAATACTCAGGTAGCCCAATGAAATAAGAAAAATCCTCAGTATCACAGGAATGTCAAGAGAGTGAAATATTATCATTATTATTATCATTAGGACATTACCCAGCGTTTAATCGAAGCATGTAACACTGTGGCCGGCTCGTCTCTTGAGAACGCGGCATGGTTCCGACGAAACGTCGCTGTCATTCCACAAATCGATACCACATCGGAACCAGTCGACCAATTCACCGAATCCGAAGTATCCGATTCTGAGCCCGCATTGGAGCCGTTGCCCTTATCCAGCAGTCTGAGTAGTACAAGCAGTCATTATAGTACACAGGCTCTTACCGTGATGTCTGAGGTCTTGGCTCCGTTACTTGATATGGTGTTTGGTAGTGAGGAAAAAGATCGCGTGACAAGTCTTTTGACGACTGTTATGTATAATGTCACGCCATACCTCAAACACCACAGGTACAAATGTTCATACACAGTATGTTATTACTTACCTAGTATTAAGTAGCAGTGTCGCGCAAGCACTGGCAGATCACTATACACTGCGTTATGTAATATATACAATATGAGCGGGAGATCTGTATGAGGATTGAAAAACAGCGAGCAGCAAGCGAGCTGTTTTAAACCTCATACAGATCTCACGCGAATATTATTCTTGATTTGCAATCAATCCCAAGAGAGCACAATAACAAAAGCGATGTCCGCCATGTTGAATATATAACAAAAGAATTCATTGAAAAATCTTTTGTCAAATTCTTCCAACATGGCGGCTATGACGTCTCTTGCAAACGAAGAATATATTACTTTAAAAATGTCTAGATTAATGCTTCTTTTTTAGATTAAAAATTTTAACATTAAATGTAATTTGGCCGAGATATTTCAAGGTCAACCTTATGCAAATCAGGACGAATTCTGTACCAGATGAAAAAAATTACAGAGGGGAGGGAGAGAAAAAAAAGATGGTTAAGCTAAAAAAAAAATAATAATTTTCTCATGGAGTTTTTTTTTCTTCTCAGTCCATCGAATGTTCCAAATTTCCGTGCCTGCTGTGCAGTGGTGGCATCTCTCAGCGGTTACCAGTACATGCGCCGCGCATGGAAAAAGGACGTCATGGAGCAAGTCATGGACCCGATTTTCTTCCAGATGGATATCTCGTGCATCGGAAGTTGGCGAACGATTATCGACAACTTGATGACGCAAGACACTACGTCATTCAAGGATCTGATGGCTCGTGTAGCTGGGTTTAGTCAGAGCGCGTCTATTAATATCTTCGCCAACAGAGAACAGGTTTGTATACAGGTTTTGCACCATCACGTGCCGGCGCCCATAATACAGCTTGGGCTGCCTGTGGTTAGATGACAGAACAATGAAATCCCTTTGCTTTCGGGAATAGGCCCTTTGCGGTTAACGGTCACGAGTCTGTACTGGAGAGCAAAATTTTTTTAAAATTTTAATTGGCAAATCTTTTTAGCTACTTGTAATGAACTGAATGAAACGATGTGTAACCAGTGTGTCACGAAATGCAGTTTTATTACGATCTCTCGAAACAGGTTGTAGAAAGTTTCCTTGCTCACCAGTATATTTCACCCATGGGAATCAAGATGTTCATTCATTTGCTCTCAGTGAATTAATCAGCACGTGATTACTGAGCTGCAAAGGGCCTTTCTCATGTAAAATATTGTATTGTTTCTGCCATCTAACATGGCTGCCGTCACGTGATGGTGCAAAGCCTTTATTACTTGGTTATTTTCTGTGAAAAGTTCTATGAAAATTGGGGACGATCAATTTATTGTTTTCAGTTAAATATGGCTTATTTTTGACAGCTTTACGTTCGCGCTTTTTTCCCTTAAGGAAGGTGAACTTCCACACATTCTAAAGGCTAAACAAAAATGGTGATATCCATTTGTTTTGATTTGCTTATTTTACTTCTAGTATGTTGTACTTTCATCCTGCAAAATCTTTAAAAATCTGACTATAAGGTCTTTTGCCCATGAACGTTTGTCATAGTCAAGGTATTGTCCATTTTAACGCAAGATTACTCTGACATTCAAGGCCATCAAAATAGAGTCTTGATTCTTATTTTGCTCATATATTTTCTAACTTGGATTCTTTTAGGAAATGGAACAACGAGCTCACCTTCTGAAGAAATTAGCCTTCGTAATTTTTTGTTCTGAGGTCGACCAATATCAGAACTCCCTGCCTGAAATACAGGAACGGCTTGCAGAATGTCTGAGACTACCTCTGGTAAATAATTGAATGAAGTTAAGGAGAAAAATTTGATGTGTATTGATAGCCAGCTATTTCTGTGCGTTTGCCTTCCGCTGGCTGGCAATAGCGCAGGCTCGAGCCAGCTGATATGAAAGAGTGACTCAAAAATGACGTCACTGCAAATGACTGAGGTGTCATAAAACCTGCGAAAGTTGGTCAACGAGAATATATAGCTCATAAATCATTGTGTCATTGTTATCAAGCGCGTATTAGCAGCGTTACTTTCTTTCATTTTGGTGAGTGACAACTCAGTTTTGCAAATTTTCGCGACTGTGATTGGCTAACATTTTTCTCCAATCAGCTGGCTGGGAACGAAAATGGGGTACGACCTTCTTTTATTCACCATGCCTTATGACCAAGATAATTATTTTACCCAAGCTAGACCAGAATGCACCTTGTTTGACTTTAACTGAGATAGCAATGCATTGTGGTCTAGCTTGGGTACAAGCACGATTTCTTTTGTTCATCGTGCTATATATAGTGCTGTTTGTACCCAAGCTAGACCAGAATGCACCTTGTTTGACTTTGACTGAGATAGCAGTGCATTGTGGTCTAGCTTGGGTACAAACACGTTTTTTTTTGTTCATCGTGCTATATATGGTGATGATTGTACCCAAGCTAGACCAGAATGCACTTTCAACGCAGCGGTGTTGTACGAATTCGAAAATGGTCTATTCATGTTTGATTTTTGGCCCTAGGCCCCAGTCCTTCACGAACAAGTCTTCCTAGCCATCAGAGTACTTCTTCTGCGCATGTCACCACAACATCTGACGTCACTCTGGCCAGTCATAATCTCAGAATTAGTCCATGTGCTACTTCAACTCGAGAGTGACCTATCCTCTGACGACAAGCCCCATAACCAACGACTGCTGATTTCAGAGGCACTCTTAGGAGCTAATGGCTATGTGAATTGCAGCCAAGAAAAATGGCTTAACCTTTACTTAGCTGCTTGTAAACTGCTTGATCTGACGCTGTCGTTACCGAGCGAGAAGCTGCCACAGTTTCAGATGTACAGGTGGGCGTTTGAAGGCGGGGAGTCGAACTACAGCGCTGCTATGGTAACCAGAAGGTAAGAACAACTTCCTAGTATTTTGTAAAGTGTCTCAATAGGTGCAAATGGCATACGAAATGATTTGAAATACGTTTTGTTGCAGCCTTTGGGCAATTATTCTATAAATTCCGAATTGTAATCAACAAAATTGAGCAACTTAATTGGGACTCTACAGAGTACAATTTGGGATTTAATTGTACTCCTCTTGTCCAATCAGAATTGAGTAATTTTGTTGAGTGCATATTATATTTATTTCTAATTTAAATCGTTTTTTTCCCCCAGCAATAAAAGCAGCGAGAATAAAACCGAGAGAATAACACTATTCAAGCCCCACATCTCACGAATCTGGAAGCTCTTGAAAAAGCGATACAGACGTCCTGAAGATATCTCAGAACCCCTCGAGTACCAGGACGACCTTTGCTCACGATGTACCAGATAAAATCGTTGGACCAGCTTCTACCGTTTCTGAAATGTCTGTCGAAACCCAAGCCCTCTGATAGGCTTGATTTTGAAGATTCCAAGTCCAAAAAAGGATCGCAAGGGGTTGGTCTATTTGAGCGTATAGTAGAGAGAGATTTCCTGGAATCGCTTATTGCGGACTAATATAATGATGGGGAATTATAACTATTATGATAATTCCTTATAATTGATAATTATTTATTCATTGATAATTATTAGTAATTAACGATGATAATCAATTATTATCAATACTTGTTAATAATTATTAATGATAATAGTACATATCAAACAATCAGTGTCGTTTTCGCGGGCTTCCTGTGGTAAACAGCCTATCAAACAACGGTCACCCTGTGTCTCTTCTCCAGTCTTTTCTTGGACAAAAGAAAAATGGCCGACGTAGAAATGTGTTTTCACTCGAATTTCTGTAAGTTTGGATACAATTTACCACGAAAAAATTGTCTTTTTGCGATACAAACATACCTCAAACTCCAAAAATATTTTAAGTTGTTTCCATATATGAACATAGAAAATGGTTGAGCCGAAACGACACCCGTTTTATAGAGCAATTTCTTGATATGACTGAGGTAAATATCGCTATAATCACTGAGCCTGAGGTGAATAAGTTTTAGTATAATTTTAGACTTGAATATCAGGGTGAAGTCGAAATTCATATAAAAAAGCGTTTTAGTATTACTTCCGATCTGGAAAACTTTGGTAAACTGGAAAACTTTTTTCTCAGCCAATCACAGCTCGAGAAACTCTATATTCAAGTCTAAAGTTATACTGATAATTAACGATAATAATTATGAATTATCATTACTTATTGATAATAATAATTATTATTATTATTAGGAATTATAATTATGAATTTGTAGGAATAATGTTATACTTTATAGATCGAAAATTTGGTAAATAATTTTTCAATTTAAACGGAATCTGAAGATTATTCTATTAGACATTTAGGGATTCCTATTTCATCAAAACAATATGTCGTTTAACAATTGAAAGAAAAGAAAGCAAGAATAAAGTTAGGAAACTGGTCATCGATGAAACTTTGACTCAAAAATGTCCTTAGAAAATTCTCGTGAGGGACTTTGTAAAAAAGCGAAACGACTTCAAGTCGACTAGTAGAAATAAAGATGTTAAAATTGTATCACGATAGTAAACACGAGTTGCTGCATTTTAGACAGGTTGCTGCAAATAAGAAACGAGTTGCTACAAATAAGAAACGATTTGCTGCATGTTAGACGAGTTGCTGCATGTTAGACGAG